TTCAAAAAATTTGTTTGATCTAAATTTTCCTAAATAAAATAAAAAATAAAAATTTATTAAGAATATGGAGAAATTAGAGAGTAATATATTATTAATAAAATAACTCATTAATAAAATTAATAAAATATTTTATAAAATATATTTTTTCTTGAATATTATGTTTATACTATATAATATTTTCTGTACAAAAACATTTCTAATCAATTAATAAAATTTTTCTTACTTGTAATAATATTTCTTATATATATATTTGTGCATTTAGATAAAAAAATATTTATTAAATATATTTTTTTACATTTTTATGAATTAATTCAATATTGTAATTTATATTTGTTAAAAATGATAAAAGTGACTTTTTATCCAATACTCATTATAAAATAATACAGAACTATAAAAGATATCTATATCCCTTTAAATATTACAAAATATTAAATGAAAAACACCTTAGGATGAATTGTCAATAAATGTTTAGAGGATCAGATTTATAATTATTTCATATTGCTTTGGAATATATTATTCAATTGATTGTTAGTAAATGAATAAGTTTTATGGTATAGGCCCTAAACAGCAAGCTGTACCAGCCAGGGAATTCATCTTACAGGTGTATCTTAGTACGAATCCTGATCCTGACCGCATGTGCTACTCTCACTTCACGTGTGCGACAGGTCGGTTTAAGTATAACGCATCCTGGCAAAAATTGTAGATGTTTTGTAGACAATTTTCTACATCGAGCCAGTAACTATAAATTATAAAATCGTAACTGTATTCTTAAAGCTTAACCCTTTCCATATTATAGAACAGCTATTTTTCATATTTCAATATTATTCATTTTATCAATAATAAATAATACAACTTTTTAGAAGCATATAAAAACAAAATTTATATAAATAAATCAATAGATTTAATTTTTCCTTTAGGTAAATTTATTTATTTTATAATTAATTATCTAAGCATTTTATATAAACATTCTTTAATTTTTTATCAGAAATATATAATTAAGATATTATGTAATATACTATTACATTATATTATAAGATTATTATTTTAAAATTAAGACTATTACATATTATGCAAAATGAAAACATATATTAAACTTACATAAGACATTTATCTGATTGATAAAACTTTTAAAAGGTTTCTTTGAAAGTTAATAAGATAGAATTAATTAAATAATTTATTCTTCCTATTTATTGAATTTAAATTTAAATTAGTTCAGTAAAAAAGATAAAATGAATTTAATAATAGTTCTATATTTGAAAAAATTTATTTTTTTATTTTTATATGAAAACATAATTTTTAATTTCTATATTTTTTTTAAATTTTTAATTATATTTTTAAGTTATTTATATATTATATTTTATATGTTTTTTTAAAATAAATATTTTATTGTAGATAGTATAAATCTTATAATTTTGTCATTAATACTAATTATTTGAATTGATTTTATTCTAATGCTAAAGTAATATCCTACTGATAATTTAATTGGGAGAAAATGATAATAATATATTTTTGAATAAAAATAGAAGTAAATTCAATTCGTATGCTTGCTTATATATTTCACAGGCCCACAAAGAGATGCCATACCTGCTAGAGAATTCATTTTACAGATGTTTGTCGACTTGAATCCTGATATTGAGAAGATTATATATTCACATTTTACGTGTGCCACAGGTAGGCTGCTAGTAGTTGATAATATTCATTTATTTTTGCTTTCTAATGTTGTGTAAGATAATTTGCATGTTGCCTATATTCTTCAGCATATATCAGGTGCGTAATTTTTATTCTAATATTTATTTATTACAAGAAAATCAATCTAATTTATGATGTGTAATATATATAAGAAATTGATAAAATTTTTAAATTTTTTATTATTAATTTGTAAGAATTATATTTTGTGAATATATATTATTTAACGACAATAATGTAAATATTTATTTTCAAAATCAGATTGATTTTCTATATTTAAAATTAATAGTTATAACAATATGTGATTTATTTATTGCATGCTGCATTTATGGGATTATACATCAGACACGGAAAACATCAAGCTTGTATTTTGTGCTGTTAAAGATACAATTATGCAAACTGCACTTAAAGAATTCAATCTTGCTTAATGTGATTATGAACAATTTTTGCATTTATGTATAAAATTTGTTTCTTTTATTGAAAATATATATATAGATTTTTTACGAAATAATTGTATTTAACTAAGTATTGGTAAATCAAAACTGAAAATAGAGTAATATTTTCTGTGTAGTAAAATTTTAAAACTGCCAGTCTGTTTCCTATATAATATTACTCATACATAAATCATTTTATTATATTATTCAATTATAATTAAAAAAATGAAATGCAATGAAAAATATATTTGCATATAAATAATATAATCGTATATAAATATATTCGTAAATAAATAAAAGAATATTTTATATATTTATTAATATTATCAAATTTATTAATATAAATCAAGTAAAGTTTTAGTAATTAAACTATTATATTATTTCAGTAAAAAGAAAGTATTTTTATTTATTTAATAAAAAATTCAAAAGAATTTTAAAATATTAATTAATATTTTAATTATGTAGAACATTATATAGAAAACAACAATTAAAACAATTTTTTAACAAATTAATTTTAATTTATAATTGTTACTTTTAATATCATTGGAAGAAATATAATGTTCTGCACAAAATTTTAATGCTTGGATTATATGAATCATATTTACTTGCATGATTATAATTTGAATGTTTGCTTATAATTTTTTTTTAAATTTAATTAAAAAGCAAATTTATTTTACTCTGAAAAATACTAATAATTTTATGAATTCTTTTAATAATAATTTAATTTATTAATTTGTTTATAACAAAAGATAATTAAGTGTATACAATAATAATATATTTGTGGAAGTGTATAAGCTACTTTGTTCTTTAATGGCATATGATAACTAATTATTGCATTATATATAACTTTCTGTTCTTTTATATATACTTTTATAAAATCTCTGTAATTAATTATAACTTCTATAATTTGTTATGTTCAATTAATAATTATGATATTGATAAACATTGTTATAAATTTATGTGCTTCAGTTATTTAATTTAAATATATCATTATACAATATAACTATTTCATTTAATGTAAAATTTAATAAATGAATTAATAATATGAATTATATTATATTATATACTTTTTTATGCATTAAAAAAAATTGCATGTGCATGTCTATCAACATCAGCTTATTATTAATTTAAAGGTAAGTTCAATGTATTATTATATTCTTATTTAATAAAAAATATTAATTATAGAAAATTTTAACATTTATAAAAAAAATTTTCATAAAAAGATGATTAAATATTTTTTGTTTATTTAATCCATTAATCATTTCTTAATTATTATTAATTATTGCTTAAAAAAAATTATATATGTTAATTCTGTTTTCTCTTACAGATACAGAAAACATCAGATTTGTATTTGCAGCAGTGAAAGACACCATTCTACAATTAAACTTAAAAGAATATAATCTGGTTTAGATGGCAATACATAAAATTCAGGATGGACTTAAGAATTTTTCTTATACCCTGACCAAGGTATCAGTGTGAACTCTGTTAAGTTAGAAATGGAGAAGAGACGAAAAAAGCAGAAAATGAATAGTAATTTATGGTGCCATCAACATTGTCGCTGCTCCATTACAAGTGTACCAACTATTGATTAGTAAAATTTATAACGGAGGTAACAGCGATGAACAAATATGGACCTAAATCTGAGCGTTATACGTTCTTTCCTAACCTTCTCACTGTCAATACCAACAAATTGATTTAGTTTCATACTCTATTTGTTGAATTTATTACCTTTTTATAGATTAGTTTAGTCAATCATGCCTGGCTGACTGCGTAATCGTCTAATTTTTATATAATGATACCATGAGCAACACATAAATAAACATATAAGATAGAGTGCAGCCATGCGATACAATGTCTGTCCAAGTGTTCATCTCAAATCGAGAGATCTCAGCAAGAAACTGAAGAGAAGAAGGACAAATACTTTTTAATCACAAATAGTCAGTGACACAAGTGAGAGCAATTCTAGTGCCATTTACTAGTGTGGTGTTTTTATTGCAGTCCCTTCTTAGATGCAAAAAGCCAAAGTGTTTTTTTATCTGTGCCAGAAGCAAGTAAAAATTTTTTCTGCATGTGACTCAAATTCATAATTCATCGTATAAATATTGTTATATATAATATATAAAATGAAAAATAGGTTAGCATTGAAAAAAGCAACATAAAACCAACAAGAAGGAAACTTTACCACCCTTCAATATTAAGAAATTATTAGAAAACATCTGTTTGATGTGATTTTAGGTAATTAGGAGTTGAAAGGTTGCAGATTCTTCTGCTGTCTTTTTTCTCCATAGGCTGTGTACGGAATGTGAGGGCTGCGATCTCATACCATACAATTATAATCCTGCAAGTTACAAACGACGTAAAAGTCGTTTATCATGATACTTTTCCTTTCATCCAGCCCTCGCTTATTGACACAGCATTGTGTAGCTAGGGACATGGTTTAAGAACATGTGGCCCTAGTTCACATTGTATCCACATTACAGTGTATGTATGAACTGCTCACTGCCTGCGCTCGCTCATGCTGGCTAGCGCGCTGCCCACTGCTTGTATTCTCTAATGGTTCAATAAATTGCTGTTTGTGTCATTTTTTAATGTTCTAAGGAAAGAACATTTGTATAAAGATGATAGAAACTGCTTTGCATAAACCTAGAGAATACTTGCACAATTGACAGTGTTAGTCAGTGAATTAGGGTGTGACATTTAGATATATATAATCTGAATGTCTAACCCTGATGTTACTAACACTGCACGCACACTGGGCAGCATATGTCATACCTACTTTGGTTGAAACATTGAGTTTATATGAAAGAAAAAATATATAAATACATTGAATAAAATATAATATTAAGAGATAATAACAAATAATATTGAATAATAATAGTAATAATAATAATAATTAATAATATTAATAATAATAATATTAATAATAATATTAATAATAATAATAATACTGCTTGGTTTTCAGTGAGAGTGTATAATTAAAAAGAATGAATGACAATGAAAGAGAGGAAATAAATGTGTATTCTCTCAAACTGAGAAAAAATGATAGTAAAAGTGAAAGAAAGAAAAAGAAAGAGAGAGATAGATTGAATGAGTGAGAGAGAAAAAGAAAGAGAAAGTGAAAGTGAGAGAATGTAATTTACAAGGGAATATCGGCAACTAATTTTGAAACTTTGGATAAGTGTTCATTAGACTTATCTAAGAATCTAGCTATAATTTGTTTGTACTATTTTTTACTTTAAGGAAGAAATCAGTCTTTTATTCGAATTATCTCTTTTATTTAAGTACTTATAAACTATAAACGACAAAAGATATTAAAAAAATCTAAAATATAAATTATATGTATATAAATCATACTATTTCTTAAAATTTATAAATTTTTGCAAACATTTTTTTGAAAGAATCTTTTTTTTTTTTTTGAAAATTTTAATTTTTTTGTGAATAAAAGTATATTATAAATTTAATATTAAAATATATAATTATTGTAATTATTCTGTGTATAAAATTATTATCTTAAATTTTGTAAAATTTAATATAATAATTTTCTATATTAGTTATTAATTCATATAATTTTTTCATATATTCTACATAACATTATATAAATATAACCATAAAATTAATTTATCAGTAATGTAACGAAGTTTATTTTGTACTCTTTCTATAATATATATATATACATATATATATATCTATAAAAATATA